GGGCCAGCATCCCATAGCCGGTGCAAGGGCGAAGCCTGTATCAGAGCCAGGCTCAGCTCCCAGGTACTGTAGTGCAGCTGAGGGAGGCAGCAGGTTGTGCAGAAAGGTGGGTTGTTTAGGGTTTTTTTTAAAAAAAAAAAAGTGCTAGCACCTCTTCTCAGAGCAGCACGTGCGTCCTCAGCACCCCGAGGTCACAGCCCCCAGCAGCCATTGGAGCAACTCTGCCTGCAATGCTGGAGGACTCAGCCTGGCCAGCCCTGAGCTCCAGAGGGTGCCCGGGCCCTCTTGCTGGGGCTGGTGCACCTGGGTGCAGCCTGCGAGAGGTGTCTGGCTGTGCGCATCTTGGAGCTGTGCTGCCGAACGGGAGGAGGTGGCATCGGAGAGGGCATGAACGAGATCAGCTGGATCATCTCAGGGACCCTAGAGCTACGAGGGCCCAAATCCTCAACTCTGGTGGTAGAGCATGCACCTGCAGAGTTCAAAAGTGGAAATGTCCTTGATGGTGAAGGTTGTCCTAGTGGCTCCTGGCACCTCCTGCTCCACCCAACAGCTTGCAGTTCAGCACCTCATCACTGATGGGGTGTGGGGAGCGCTCTCCAGTCATCTTCAGGTGACCTCTGCCAGCAGGCTGGCTGACCTGGTAAGGAGAACTTTAAACTGGGAACGGCAGAGGAGGGGACAGTCCTTGCTCGGGTGGGGATGTGGTGGGTGGAGTGGGTAACAAGGGGCTGGGGGTGGGGGTGACCAGCAGAGCCTCTGTTACCAACAAAACAGGACTCAAGTGGGGTCCCTTCAGCATAGGGGCACAGATAGGACAGTGTTGTGGGCGAGTTCTCATGGCCTGCTGGGAAGCAGGACTGTGTGGGGGCCAGTGATGCGGGCAGGATGGGGGGCAGCCTGGAGGCACTAGCAGGCTGCGAGCACTTGCAGAGCTTCTGCCTCTTTGGGATGATGGGTAACGATTAGCAGGCAGCCGTATGGGTGTCCGCTACAGGCCACCCTGTCAGGACACAGCTTGCTGCCTTCAGGCATGGGGAAGAAGCCCCATGTCGGCAGGCTCTGGTCCTTACGGGGAGCTGGAATTCCCCTGGTATTTGCCACAGGGACAGCCCAGCAGGGCATAAGCAGCGTGGGAGGCTTCTGGAGCACGTTGACAACACCTTGCCGGCATGGGGGATCGAGGAGAGGTGGTCTGCTGGGCCCCACAGACGGGAAGGGCTGGCCAAGGGAAGCTCAGGATCCTGAGAGAAGACAAGACAAAAGCAGGACCACAACCCTGGATTTCAGGAGAGCAGACGCTGGCCTCTGCAGGGATCTGCTTGAGAGAATCCCATGTCCTCAAGAGAAGAGATGTCCAAGAGGGCCAAGGATCAGCTCCTCCAGACTCAAGTGGTCCATCCCAATGAGCAGGAATTGGCGGTGGCAGGTTATCTGTGCTGACCTAGGAGGAATGAGGAGACTGAGCGTGCGGAGTTGGGGCTAGGGCTAGTTCAGCAAAAGGAAATGCCAGGTCCTGCACCCGGGGAAGAATGACCCTACACGCCAGCACCTGCTGGTGGCTGGAAAGCAGACTTCCAGAGAAGGCTCTGGGGATCCTGGTGGACAAGTTTACTAGAAGGCAGCAGTGTGCCCCTGTGGCAAGGAAGGCCACCAGCCTTCTGGGCTGCGTTAGGAGACGCATTGCCAGCAGCTCAGGGGAGGTGATTCTTCCCCTCTACTCAGCTCTGGTCAGGCACAGCTGCAGTTCCAGGTCCAGCGCTGGGCTCCCCAGAGGGGGATGTACTGGAGAGTCCAGCAAAGGGCTGTCCATCTTCTACTGTGAGGGTGATCAAACTCTGGCACTCGACGATAGCAGAGTCCCCATCCATGGAGATATGCAAAACCCGACTGGCCACATTCCTGTGCAACTTGCTCTAGCTGCCTTTTCCTAAGCAGGGGGCTGGACTGGATGACCTCAAGGTCCCTGCCAGCCTCAGCCACTCTGTGTCCCCGAGGCCTCAGCATGGCAGCTCTGAGGCGCCGGGATTGCTGCCGCGTTCAGGGAGCCAGTGTGGCTCCCTGTGCTGAGCCATTAATGAGGGGGCAAAGCTGGTGTCCAGGAACAGCCCAAAGAACCCCCACAGTTCCGCTGCTGATCAACACCTGCTCCCTCCCTGTCGGCCTGGTATCGTTTGCTGCTCATGCTGCTGCGCATCTGCAGCGAGTGGCTGTCGTGCCAGCCCCCTGCTGTCAGGCAGACCATGGCTGTTGTCCCCAGGCTGGGACTAGAGGCTCATTAGGGCTGGGATGTTGCAGCTGGGCTGACAAAGGGATCCCAGGGATTTTCCCAGGGCTTAGGGGGCCCCGATTTCAGCAAGCTGTCAGCCCCCCCCACCCCAGTGCTCCCAGTCTGAAGTAACTCAGCAGCATCATGGTCTTCCCTCCTTGGGAAAGGGGGAAGGGTCTCAGCATTTTGATGGACTGAGACCAGCCCACTTGGCTCATGTGTGAGTCTCCCTCCTCTGGAGCAGGGAGTACTCCCAGGGACTCCAGATCTCATGCCCTGGACTAGTCTGTGAGCGTGGCTGCTGGACACCCTCCCCAGGCAGTGCAGCCCTGCACCAAAAGCCGCGGTGCCGGAGCAGAGCCCGCGCACACAGCCCATTAGCCGGGACGTGGTTGCATTTCCCTCCCATAATTGCTTGCTGCTTGTCCAGTGAGTGAGCCAAGTGCATGCAGGGTGGCTCCCGGGGGAAGACTCTGTCCTTCACATCCTGTCCTTGCTTGGCCGCAGTGGCCTGAGGCAGCTGAACACCCTCTCCGTCCCCTGCTGGGGCTGGCTGAGGGGCTGGGAGCACCCTGCCCAAGAAGGGGATGACAGATCTTCCCCTGATGGCCCAGTCCTGCCCTGGGGCAGTTCTGCAGCCACCCCGAGTGCCCAGCCTGCCTCGGCTCATGTACCCTGGGAGCGAGAGAGGAAGACTGAGCAGGGCCTCAGTTTCCCCAATTGTCACCCATCTGCAGCCAGACCCCCACAGGGCTCGGGCAGGCTGCTGGCGTGGCTCAACTTTCCGTGCCTGCGCTGTGCCTGGCAGAGCTCTGCTCCTGCAGCAGATGTCCGTCTTTTTCTGGCCTCTCAGCAGTCCCCCTCTCCCTGCTGTGGTGTTCATCCTGGTTAAAATTAGCTAGTTTGCTGGCATGGCCCTGCCAAGGCAGGTGAGTTCAGGGCAGGGTGAGCCAAAACTCCTGGGGTCTCTGCCCATCAGGGTCCCGAAACATTTTTCTAAACAATTTACAAGGATGCTGGAGAAGCAGAGGGTGCTTAAAAGCACATGGCGACCTGCCAAGAACTCGGGCTGTGGCCAAGGAGTAACTCAATTGTGCAGCAAATGCATCTGCTCCCCAGTAGCCCAGCGCAGCTGAGCCTGCCACGGCCTCTCTGCGAGGCAAGACCAAGCCGGGTGGCAACTCCTAGTGCTGCGGGAGCTGCCTCCATCCCTGAGACAGTCAGGCTTGGAGGACAGGGAGGTGTGAAGGACAGATGGCGGCAGGGATTACATGTCCCTGTGCATGTTCCTGCCAGCCTGGGAAGTCCCAGCCCCTCTGCTCAGGCCCTGGGGAGCTCCAGCTCTGGAGAACCTGTGCACCAATCCCCTCACTCCAGGGAGGAACTGCTCCTGAAAAGAGACAAAACAGCGTGTACAAGCCCCTCTGCAAAGCAGCCGCTGCTTAGCTCCTTGCTAAACAGCTCCGAGTGGCCTGAATGAGGGGAGAAGATGCCCACCAGGCTGGGCCCCTGCCAGCGAGAGCCACCCTGGCTGCTCTGCCCGTTCCCGGGCCCCGAGGAGGCTGCGGCACCACGCGCCTCTCCAGGCGATGCAGACATCGGCGCTGCTGCCCTGCAAGCTGTGTGCTTTCCCCCCTTGCACGGGCGTACCCACAACCACCTCCTCTCGCTGCGGGTTGGCAGAGCAGGGGCTGGGGGATGCCAGCCCGGAGAAAGCCCACCTGCCGTATCTTCAGGTGCAGAGTTGTCATCTTCGGGGTGCCACACTTCTCCTGTGCAGCAGCCTGGCCCCGGGGTACCCCACAGCACTGCCCTTCTGGGTGCACCCCCAGAGAAGAACCCCTGAGCTTGTTGGTGGTGGGAGCCCTGCAGCTCTGACCTGTGCTGGGGAGTGATGCATTTCTTCTGGAGCCTGGGGGTCAGCAGAGAGAAGACCCCACCCTCCCCAAAGCAAACCATTCCCAAGAACGAGGCAGCAGGCAGCTTTTGGTAAAGGAGACTTTAATCTGCTCACTGTCTAATCCATAGTGCAAAGAGTTAAACTTAAGGCAAAGCTTTCTCTTTTTTTCTTTTTTAATAAACAGGCAAAAAACCAACAGGCCCTGAAACAATAAGCGTGACTTAGAAAGAGGGTTTGAGGGGAAAGACTGCAGTCCTTGGGGAGGTGTCCTTCCTCCACGCGTGGAGGAAACACCACAGGCCAAGGTCTGTGACTGGTCCCCACCAACCAGCATGGCCGCAGCCAGAACCGTGGCCACACTCCCCCCCCCGGGCGGGTGTCTCAGAGCCACAGTCCTGGAAAGCTGCAGCTCTCTCACCTCTGCAAGCACCTGGGACAAGCTGGACCCTGGGGAAAGCAGCCTGGGGGGCTGCACTCGCTGCCCGGCAAGGGCTCAGCTACTCAGCTGCAAGTGTCGCTGGCAGGAGAGGTGAGTGGAGAAAGCAAACGTTAACACAGGTGATGTGTGTCTGGGGAGGCACAGGGGCAAGAGGCTGAGCGATGGTGCTTGTGCCAGGGGCTCTGCACCTCTGCCAAGTGAGGTGGAAGCAGCTGGCAGCCCTGGGGCTGCGCCCTCCAAACCCAGCTTGGCCCAGTTGTCCCTCCAGCCCCAGCACACACAGGGGCAACTGGGTGCCTCCCAGAGCAAAGCTGCTCTCCAACAAGATAATATCTTGCCGCAGCTCATGTTTACAGCACAGAGGCGTCTCCCAGTATGGCCTGGCCTCTCTGCTGCCTCCGTTTTGGCTTAAATCACTAATCAAGAAGAATAGAGACGGAAGACTATGCCAGCCGCCCTCAGGCTCTTGGCTTGCAGTCCAGGAGTCAAGACTCTTTCCACTCTGGCTCCAGCCAAAATTGGCTGTGGCGTGTGGCTGACCTCAGGCAAGCAGCTGGAAAAGGGAAAGCTTTTTAGTGCAGGGCCCTCTTGCAGCCCAGCAATTTCTTGGAATGGTGCTGGCTGACCAAGCTAGGATGAGCCATCTCAAGCCTCCCAGTCAGGATCAGATGCTCTCGTTAGACTTCAGGGGACACTTTTAAATAAAACTAGCTACATTTCTGACAGACAGTAAGACGCAACAGCAGTGTAACCCTGCCTTAATCAAAGATAACCATGGTCCTGGTACTGCTCCATGCACACAACTGCAGATCTGCAGCACGGATATGCAGAACTTGTGCCTGGAGCTGGAATGTCGCAGTGGGCTCCCGGGAGCTTTGGGGTGGCCCCTCTCCTCCCAAAAATTACTCCCTCTAGCCAGCCCAGCCTGGGAAGCAGCAGGCAAGCACTGGTGTGAACCACCCAGTTCCATGGCACTCTTGAGCCTGAAGAAAATGTGTATTATCTAGAGAGGATTCTCCAGCATTGGCTCGGATGTGTGCTGCTGCTGTCAGGGCTGTGAGTACTGGCCAGCCAGCCCTGAGGTTCCCCAAGCAACACCAACATCCCTGCAAGAAAGAATAACTCCCTCTGGCCTCCTCATGCAAATAACCTGATGTGTGCTTGCTAGTCTTGCATAGGTGACGCGTGGAAAGCAGCAGCAACACTGAGCTCTGCAGGGAGCCCACGTTCATCATGGCTCCTCATGGACCTGGCAAGAGGAACAGGAAGCTCCAAAACCAAAGCCACGGTGGCTGGCATACTAAAGTACCCAAGAAACCCTGCTCTTCTCCAGCTGAGAGCCAGGCTCAGCCCTCTGGTAACAAAGCCCAAAACTCTCAAGTGTGCTCATTACTCTCCTCAGGCCTTGCAAAAGAGGCACACTTCTCCCTTCCCTGGGAGCTCCCCCATTTAGATGGTGGGAGGAGGAAACAGGCCTGAATGCAGTTTGCCAGGTAGTTTCCTGGTCGCACCTAGGGAGAAACCCTCCCTTGCCTTGTACCAGCCCCTATGATCCCAGGAGGGCACAGCCTTGAATGTTTCCATCAGCTTCGGCTAGGAGGGACCAGAGCATTTTTCTGCACTCTGCTTTGGATTTCAGACTGCTGCAGGCTTGAGGCAACAGGTCCCAAAACAGAAAAAGTTGTCAAAAAAAAAAAAAGAAAAAAAAAAAAAGAAGCAACTCAGCCTGCTGCAGAGGTCAATTATTGTGCTTGCTAGCAACGTAGCAAATGTGTCTAGCAGACACCCCCAACGGCCTTTTGCCTTTTCAGCACCATTCTTAGTTCTTTGGAAGCTACGCAAAGGCAGCCCTGGGAAGTTCTGCTTCCTGGCAAGTGGCAGACAGGTGTGCCCTTGACCTCCTGGGACACTGACCCAAGTCACCTGCCCTGTGGGCTCACAAGTACACATTGAGCGTCTGGAGGATCATCTGGCGGCACAGCGGGCAGTTGCGCTGGTAGATGGCCTGCTGCAGGAGGACTTCCGTGCACTCCTGACACAGGCACAGGTGCCTGCAGGGCAGGAGCAGGACTGTCTTGGTTTGGTCTTGACAGATGACACATTTCTTACGTTCCTCTTGCTCTTTCAGTAGCATCCAGGGGTCGTTATCCAGAGCACCCTCACCATCCCCAGCTGCCGCGTTCAGTTGCTGCCTCCTCAGAGCGTTCCCCCAGGAGGTGCTCGGTTCCTCCCTGGGTGGCTGGTGACGCTGTCCTGCCACAGCACTTCGACTCAGAGCAGGACGTGCTTGTGGCATCTGCTCTGCGTCCAGCCAGTCCTCGTGCTCGTCTGCCTGCTGGCCAACACCTGCCAGCATCAGCCTGCCGGGGGCTGCGGGTCTCAGGGCCGGCACAGCTGCCCCTCGCTGGTTGCTCTCACGGTTCGTCATTCTGCCTCCTCGGCTCCAGTTGGTCACCTGAAGGCTCCAGTTAGTCACCTGCAGACTCCAGTCCACCAACCTGCGCCAGGCCTGGGAGGTCATGGCCATCCCCAGCGTCAGCACGGCCACCTGATAGAGCCGCCACACGTCCCGCTGCAGGCGGTGGTAGGAAGGCAGCGTGTTGAAGTAGCCCAGCACGTGGCCTGTCAGCGTCCACAGCAGCCCAGGGTTGGAGACAAAGATGCTGACAACAATAATGAGGAGGAGCAAGCCCAGGCCGTAAATATTCACAAAGAAGACGTTGATGAAGAGCTCAAGGACAGAGGTCAGGAGCTGGAAGACCAACTGGCAGGGCGACCACAGCAGGATGGAGACGGCGATGGCGCCGCTGGAGACGTGTGCCAGGAAAGCAGCCAGCAGGTCCGTGACCCTGAGGAAGGGGCCGGCGACAGAGTCCCACAGGGCCACGAGCAGGGTGAAGAGGTTCTGCGTGCCGATGAGGCACACGTTGACGAGGCTGTTGACCAGGTAGGCCAGCAGGCTGGTGGCGATGGCCAGCCCCTCGCAGAGCTGCCTGGCCAGGGCCTGCCCGCAGCCCAGCAGGCCGCAGAGCCCGCGGTGCAGCAGCTCCCTGCCCCGCAGCGCCAGGTGCGAGAGGAGGTGCCCCGCCACCTTGAGCCCCTCCAGGCCGCAGCAGCAGCCCCGCAGCAGGCCGGCCAGCCCCTGCAGGGCGCC